AGAGGAAGAGGGAGAAGCAGGCTCCCCGCCGAGCAAGGAGCCCGATGTGGGGCTCGATCCCAGGACCCCGGGATCATGACCTGAGCCGAAGGCAGTTGATTAACCAACTGAGCCACCCAGGTGCCCCATACTTTATTTTTTTCAAAGATTTTGTTTATTTGAGAGAGAGAGCAAGCAAGGGAGAGCACAAGCCGGGGGAGGGGCAGAGGGAGAAGGAAAAGCAGGCAGGCTTCCCCGCTGAACAGGGAGCCCCTTGTGAGGCTCGATCCCAGGACCCTGGGATCATGACCCCAGCTAAAGGCAGACGCCCAACTGACTGAGCCACCCAGGCGTCCTAGAGCTTACTTTAAAAAGAAAAAGAGAAGGAGCTCTTGCTCTTCTTTTCTGCTGAGAGAACTTTGGTTTGGACAAGGGTGGTCTAGGCAGATTTATTTCTGCTTCAGCTGAATAAAGGGAAGAGGTAGGTGAGCTGGTATTCTAAATTATATATATTTGCTTAGATTAATATATATATATATAATTATTTATTTTAAGATTTTATTTATTTGAGAGAGAGAGAGAGCGAGCACAAGCAGGCAGAAGGGCAGAGGGAGAGGAAGAAACAGACTCCGCACTGAGCAGGGAACCCCATGCAGGGCTTGATCCCAGGACCCTGGAATCATGACTGAGCCAAAGGCAGACACTTAACTGACTGAGCCAATCAGGAGCCCCTTATTTTTAAATGGTCACTTTAAAATCAACCTCCTACAAGTTCTAAACTCCAAAGTAGAATGTAAAGAAGGCTTAGAGACAGTAAAAGAAATGAAAATTTCTGAAAAACAATCAGATTTTCTTAGAGATGAAGAAACTTCAGTAATTCATTAAGCAAATCTAAGCAAGTCTGCAGCTCGAAAGGAAGAAAAGATGACCACAGTCTCTCCCCCTGCCTGCTCTGGGAAGTGTACATTTCTCAGCCTCTGACAAGATGTGTAGCCATCCATTTCCAATGGAAAGGTCAGCTGTCTCTTAGTATCTCCTTTCCATTGATTTCTCCCTCTTCCCAGAGAGTTGATTTTCCTCTAGTAACCCTCTCTAAAAGCTTAAGGCCTCCCCGATTTCCATCATTACCAATAAGGCATTTTTCCTCTTCACATTTCCTTTCTCCCTCACAGCCCCCTTAGCTTGTGCCTTCTCTTGTGGGCCTTCCAGCCTCAGTTTCCAGTTGTCCCCTCCCACCAGCTTCCATTGTCTTAGTTAAAACAGGGAAGATCTGCTGAGTGCACGTGACCTCTTGCCATCGTGGAGCCATTCCAGTTTTACAGATGATGAGCTTCCCAAACCCAAACAAGATAACCACAAAGTTTTTTCTTTCAGCTTCTTAACTGAGCTGATCTGAACAGTGCCATTTGCTGCTTGGACTAATGGTCTGAGCTTTATTGATATGCAGCCGGAAAGAAAACATCTTGTTGAGGGCAGCAATACTTTTCCTCTAAATTTTAAGAGGGTGGAGAGGAAGGTTTCCTAGTGAGCAACTCTGGTCGCCTCTCATTCTTTTCCTGTCCACCTCTGAACAAGAAACAAGACCTCTTTAGTTTTGATCTGGAAGCTGTTTTCTTTCTTTTTTTAAAGATTTATTTATTTGACAGAGAGAGAGACAGCGAGAGAGGGAACACAAGCAGGGGGAGTGGGAAAGGGAGAAGCAGGCTTCCTGCTGAGCAGGGAGCCCGGATGCGGGGCTCAATCCCAGGACGCTGGGATCATGACCCGAGCTGAAGGCAGACGCTTAAGGACTGAGCCACCCAGACGCCCCTGGAAGCTGTTTTCTTTTGCTCCTACTTGCTCTTAGTTTGAGGGATGGAAGGGCAAGGGGTATGAGAGATGGTCTTGGACCCCAGAAGTGGAAGAATCGTTATCTTCTCCCACTCCCTTGGAACCGTAAAGATCTTGGCGACCTGACTCATTCCCTGGTGACGTGCTGAGACTGCACTGAGTCTCCTTCTAGCATATTGATTCCAGTTCCCTTCATGGATGTTAGACAGAAATGAGAACAGTCTGCTTGGGGAGGGGGGTTGCTGTCAGCATTTGTCATCTACCAGGGAGCAGCTGTAGCCGAGACAGGTGAAACCAGGACTCTGCCAACATGAATCAGCAGTGGGGTTTTCCATCCAGGCCCACAGAGGGTCCCCACATTCGGATAATCCTCCTCCAGTGTCATGGAATTCGGTGGTACAGCTTCATGGGGAAGAAGGGAGAGAGGGATTTTTGGCAGGCCCACCCAGTTTTGTCCTGGATGAGTGTTAAGGAAACCTTTACTTGAGATATATTTGGGGTGCCTTTAAGGGAAGGCCAGAGCCGTCCCTTAACACTGTTTCAGGTCTTCTTTCTTGTCAGTGCAGATGAACCTTGAGTTTACAGAGCCAGGGCTGGTCTCCACTGGCGTCTGGGAGGAGACTGCTCCCTGAGTCACTGGGTTGGAAAGACTGCTGGCCGAAACCCTAAATGGTGTGGGAGTAGCCAGAGCTACCGAACCTCCTGTCCACATTGGGAAACTTCTTGAGCAGATACTCTTCTTGTCGCTAGGACTGACTAATTGTGAGGCATATACCCCCCTCGGTGAGGTGCTTTGAGAGCTCCGGCCAGAGAATAGAGTGGGAACTACATCTCTGGATGGTTCTGAAAATGGGCCAGGTTCTCCTTCCTCTGGGCTCCTTGAGTTTCAGGCATGTGTGAATCAGGAGTATTGGACTGGATGGCCTCTTCAGGACTGTAAAGCAGCGTCCTGCCCATCTGGCATCCTCTGTGCTCTCATTACCCACCCCCCATATGTTTTGCTGTCCTCTCCCTCTTTCCCACCCCTGTATTAGAGTGTGATAAGCAAGCAAGTGCTTATCAGGAGTCCTGGAGGCTGCTGATCCTCACATGGCATTTTCTGGTTTCCTGCCACAAAGCGGGATTTAGTCTTAATACCCAAACATAGGAGGAGATGGGCACTTGGGAGTTGCCCTTTCAACGGTGTTTAAGGACTTGACAGGGGTCAGGGACCAGGGGGGACTGCCATAGTCCGAGGACAAATCGATGCCCCATGACTACTATAGTCATGGAGGTTGTGAATATCTGTGCAGCAAGGTCTGGGGGTCTCAACCTTTAATGACCTCTCCCCTGTCCATCTGACCTTGTCTCACCTGAGCTTGGTCATCCATCATACTGGTCTCTTGAGGGTTTTGTCTCTAAAGTAGGTTCCTGTACTTAGAAGCAAATTGATAGTATTTGCTTATTTTCTCTGCAGCAACTATAAAAGGTAAATATGTGACATGTGAGAGGCTTGTTTGCTTCTTTACTGGTCTGGAACATTTCTAGAAGAGTTCTCTTAGCTTTTCTTTGAGACCTCCATCAAAAAACTCGGCACAACCTTAAAGCATCTATTTTACTAACCTTATTATCCCCCTTCTTGCATGGCTACTTTCTCTGCCCAGCTCCCCGAAGTTATGAATTATCATGACTTTAGGTGAGACTCCTTTGTGAAGCTTTGTAGGGCCGCCACAGGCCAAGACCAAAGCTCCCCTCGCCCAACCCACTGAGATTAATACACATCCCTCCTTAATTAACCCTGGGTGTCCCCTCACTCATGCCACCGACCCTTGAGGCGAAGGAAAATTAAACAGTCAGTGATCCTGGCCACACTGGTTAGATCCCAGCCACTTTGTCCTCTGAGTGTATATGTCAACTCATATTTAACCATCTGACCTGTTGGGGGGACAGAAACCATTGATTTCTGGGAAGGAAAACCTCTGTGAGAAAGGGTAAAGACACCACAGCCCAGCCCCTGATGTGAAGGAAAAGGGTTGATGAGGTGCGCAGAGCAAGGCAGGCGCTGCCATCTTCATGGAGAGTTGGCCATCGAGGCTGGAAGAGAGTAGTAGCGGAGGTTTGTTGGAGGCGCCTCCCTGATTCGTATGTGCAAGGAAGAGACGATCCGAAGGTCAAGCAACCACGTTCTATATGACTAGTTTAGAAATTGATAAACTCCATTGGGCTCTTTTTCAGTAGTCTCCTCAGTTACACAAAAGATTCTTGCTCATTCTTACATTTGGAGTTACAGAAAGGGAGGGCAGGGGAGGTTCTTAAAGCGGCAGCCGTGGGGCAGTCAGCCTTATGCCTCAAAAGAGAGCCAGTTCCTTATCTGTAAGAGACCCATCCAACTTCCGGACCGGCGCAGGGCCGTTCTGGCACGTGCCACCGGCTGCCCAGGCACATTTCTCAGCACCACAAAGCCTGGGAAATCGTCACAACAGGCTTCTCCGTGTAGGTGTCAGGATGTTGAGAACTCGTGCTGCTTGCTCTCCGCTCCATTCTAGAGCCCGTCCCGGGGAAGGCCTTTCAGGTAGATGCCCAAGGCACATGAACAAGCGTTCCCGCATCCAGGGCTTATCACTTCATTTGTGTACGTGCAGTGGACCCTTAGCCAGTTTTTATGTCCTTTCTTTCCTTTTTTTTTTGAATTTTAAATCTCTCATCCAGATAATCTGAAAAGTAATAATTATTGTACCACCCTAAATTCATTTTTGAATATTACTTTCTAAACCACATCTCGTTTGGTCTCCCATTTTTTTCCCTCCATCAGGGGGCAGGGAAAGGCAGATGTAGTTCATCCCCGTTTTATAGATTAAAGCCTGAAGAGGCTAAAAGGGAAAACATTGACTAAAACCCCAGTTTATAGATTCTTGGCTTTATCCTTTTCATAGACCCTAACGACCTTTTTTGAAGCCCCAGATGCAGATTCCTGGTAATAATAGCAACAGCTATTAAGCAGTGAGCTTGCACTGTGCCAGGCGTTTTCTACACATGTCTTTTCATCTCTCCAGTCATTTGGCTGTTGGTGCTGTCTCTCTCTCTCTCTCTTTTTTTAAAGTAGGCTCCCTGCCCAGCGTGGAGCCCCATGTGGGGCTTGAACTCATGACCTTGAGCTGAGATCAAGTCAGATGCTTAACTGACTGAGCCACGCAGGCACCCCAAGTGCGGTCTCTTTTTAAACTGAGATCTGGAGATGTCACTATCCTAGAGAAGTGGTGTCAGGACTCCAACCCAGGGCTTTCTGACTCGAAAGAAAGTCTTCATCCTTCATTCTCCCACTGCCCTGCCCCTGTCTCTGACTAAAGTTGCTGTGGAATATGGTGCAGCTCAGTGGCCAGAGAGATCGGAGGTTTTCTTTCACCTCCGGTCCAAACCCTAGCCACAGCTAAGCTGCCTCCTGAGAAAATAGTAGCTTTGGAAACAAGCAGACTATTGAAGGGGACTCTCTCCCTTGGAGAAATGGAAACAATCTATTTAATGGCGATTTATATAAGCTAGAAAGAAATCACGTACCTGGTTCAAGATCCCCCTCTCCCCTGCTTCCTACATCTTAGTGCACCTTTTAGGTTTCCTTAACAATAGCAGTTTTAACATTGCTTTTAATTAGATGAATTAAGAATGTTCTCTGGTGTTTTCACCCCCTCCCGCCCCCCTATCACCTTCAGTTCCCCATTGCTGTGAGAGCTGTGATTGCCATGGTAACGGGACTCCCAGTTGAGCTTGACTCTCACTGGTCTTTCTGGTCAGGGGAAAGTTAGGGGCAGGCCTTCCTGGTGAACAGAGTTCTGACTGCCTTTCCAGGGGGCTGCCTTAAAGCCATGAAAAGAGCTAAAAGGCTGTAAGGAGAGCACAAGCAAGCTTCCTGCAGAAAAGCCCAAGTGTGCCCTAGTCTTGCTCGAGAGAGTTCTAGCCTTCCTCCTAAAGTAAGAGGGCCCCAGCATCCCAAGTTTGCCAGTATGTGTAAGAGGCCTTCTTTCCTCCCTGTGGTTAACTTGCTTCCGGCCATAGAAGGGACTTTGTTATTCTTGGTAACAAATTTTTCTCCTCGAATTCTCTTTTCTTCCCTCTTTTCTCCCCCACCCAGAGAGTTTTCAACGTCCTTTACCCCATGCCTGCCGACCAGCGGAGACATGTCAGCATCAACTCTGCCCGTTGGCTGCCCGAGCCAGGGCTTGGCCTGGCCTATGGTACCAACAAAGGAGACCTGGTGATCTGCCGACCAGAGTGAGTGGCCTAGGGTGGGCGGCAGCGTGGGCGGGAGGGGGTCATCCAGGCCGAGGACGGGAGTAATCGGCATCATCTGTGGGTCTGGCCGTGAGGTGGGATCTTGTAGATGGGAAATAGAAATTCTGCTAGAGCCTGCCTCATTCTCTGCATCACTCCATAAAGGGTACTTTTCACTTAGGGTTGCTAGGGTTAGCTCTCTGTCCCAGAAATCTTCAAAAGACTGGTTTAGTTATTATGTCTTCTTAAATCTAAGGCAGTATTTTTTTCCTTTGTTTTCTCTTGTTCTCTGGTTACCTATTGATAGTAAAGTTTCCCTGCAGGCAAAAGCATAGATACCAAAGATTCTTTTCTAAACGTCTTTTGAAAAATTCAACAGGTGGTCTTAGGTTTGTGTAAATGCCACAGACATAACTTAAGAAATAAAATTGGAAATAGAGTATTGTTAAAGTCCTAATTTGTCAGGCCACTGATGTCTAGCAGCCTGGTTCTGTGTCCTGCCTGTTTTCCTTTCTGCTTGCGCTTCGTAACAGTGAAGGCAAATTGAAAAGTTCCATTTAGAATCAAAATGCTTGTTATCTGGTCTTGAAGTAGGGGATAGGAGGGGACACTTCTGTCCTGGGTCCTGATGACACCCCTTCCCCTTCCCCTGGTGTTGTGGAGGATAGAGGTCTCTTCTTTCACTTGAGACCCTGGGAGTCAGCCAGGTCTGTCATCAATTTCCAGACCCAGCCAGGTGGGGCACGTGAAGCTCTGTGCTTCAGTGCAGATCAGGCTGATTGCTGCGTGGGCCGCCGCAGGGTTCCAGCCGACTAAATGCCACTTCTGCCTCCACGCCGTCCTAATGCTGTCCTTCACTTGGCGCAGAGTCTTCTCCAGGGGTGTTCTGTGGATCACAGAGCATGGCGTGACTGCTCTGGTAGGGTCTCTGGCTATTGGAAGTGTCTGCGTTGCCTTTTGATAGGGCCTTTGGTGATTTTTCCTAGGGTGTGTATTTGGGTCAGTTCTTGTGCCTGGTAGGTGACTGGTGACTGAGCCCTTGTCAGCTGAGCTAGGTCAGTGGCTCAGGAGAAAGGAAACCCAATTCTAAGGGCAGCTCTTTCATTCTATCCTGCATTTTTGGAGCCCCTCCCAAAGAGAGGCTGCCGTCTGCGACCACGGTTCTGCCAGCTGCACTCTCCTCAGGTTCTGTGTCCAGAGGGCCCCCCTCACTAGCTGCTCGTGCCTTTCCAGAACCAAACCGGCCTCCTTGACGACTGTGCCGCTGTTAGTCCTGGCGCTGGGTCTGTCCTTTTCTGCCCTCCTTCTGGCCTGACCATAGTCCTGGGATCAATCTGCTCTGAGCTCTTTCTTTTTCCCCAAAGCACATGAGACTGATTATCTTATCTCACCCTCTTAGGAGTTCATAAGAGGACTCTGATAGGCATCTTTTCCAAAACTGGCACAGAATTTTGGACCATAATTTTATTCTTAACCAACACTGTAGTTACAGGCCTTTCTTTCCCTGTTTCTCCAAGACATCCTTCCTCAACATTGTCTTGTCTGTAGCTCCAGCCACTAAACCTTTGTCCCAGCCAGACTCCCATCCCCTTCCCTTGTAAAATTGACCTGCTCCCACAGAGGCAGAATCTCTACCTCCAGTTCGTCGTGGTCCCTCAAAGGCTTTTATGTCTGAAACCCCGGCCTCCGCACTTGGTGTGAGTCACAGACACCTCAGCCAAACATGAAGCTGGCTTTGGCCTCTCTTCTCTCTTGTCTCCCCATATGTCGTCTGCGACATCCAGCGTCAGCAGGCTGGAGCCATCCTGGACTGCCTGGGGAGCGTAGCCGCAGGAACTCAGGCCTCTTCCCCGATCAAGGGGGCACTAGCAGTCGACACCACCAACAGTGGCCCACCACAGACCAAGTTGTGTTGGCCCGAGGGAGAGCTAGCTTGGCCTGCCTGTGTGGGGTTGCTGTTTCTCCTGAATTCTTGGGTCATTCTGGCAAATGCCCCAAATCTTAGGGCTGCATATTTGAGGGAACCATGTAAATTAAGACAGACATGACTTTGTCCTAAGTTGTTCACAGCTTCTCCGCTTCTCAGTCCCCTTCGTATCTGTGGGATTTGGCTTCAGGCAGGGAAGATGGAGCAGTATTCAGGTAAAGACGGGAAGACTCAGCCCAGGCCTCCCAGCAGATAGATCAGTGACAGAATTAGGCTTCCTGACTTTCTAGTTCCGAGCTCTTTCCTACAGCTGGTTTTTTAACCTTTTTTCTATCATGAATAACTTTAAAATTCTGATGGGGGCACCTGGGTGGCTCAGTCGTTAAGCGTCTGCCTTCGGCTCAGGTCATGATCCCAGGGTCCTGGGATTGAGCCCCATCTCAGGCTCCCTGCTCCGCGGGGAAGCCTGCTTCTCCCTCTCCCACTCCCCCTGCTTGTGTTCCCTCTCTCGCTGTGTCAAATAAATAAAATCTTTAAAAAATAAATAAATAAATAAAATTCTGATGGAAACCATGTACGCTCTTCCACAGAAAAATATACCACAAGAACACCCATGTAATTTCATTGCTCTCTTAAGACCTCAGGTAAAACATGCAGCTCTAGATCACGTTGAGGCATTGAAGCGGGTCAGGTGATTGACACGGAGGGAAATGAGAGAGGAGAAGCGAGAATGTTCACATCTTTTGAACAGTCTGTGGTTGGTCTCTGGCCTAGAACAAGGAGAACAAACGAACAGGACAGTAGGAGCTCAGCGTTGTTGTCTCTCCGGTAGATAGGCAGCTGGCCTGAGGCTCACCGCCCTTCCCCTGGTGACAGAGCTCTGACACAGCTGTTCCCGAGGGCACAGCAGCCGGCTGGCCGGGGTTACAGCCCTCCCCCCGGAACAGGTGGTTGTCTGCCTTCGTCCGCCGACACCGGCAGCTGCGCCCCGCTTCCTGCTCTCTGTCTGCCTCTTGATTTCTCCTCCATTGTCTTAGCCTCTGCACTCTCTCCAAGCACAGACAGAGGTCACAAGCCCCTTGGGCATCTTTTGGTGGTACTGAAACCCCACTGATAGTAGAAGAAGGGCCTCAGGAAATACTCCCATCGCTCTAGGGAACCACATTCTGATGACAGGCGAGGAGACGAACACTAGCCCTGTAGCCCCTGTGCAAAGCCATTAGGGTGGCTGGTAGCCCGGTCACCCCACCCTTCCTAGCAGTGAGGCCCTCCCTTCTCCTTTGCTTTGCTCCACCCCCCCCTCCCCGCCCCGCCACTCCTCCCAAGCTGTTGCTGTGCCTCTGGCTGACTGCCAGGCCAGCCAACACCCCCACCAATAACCATAGTGGGTGTGAAGTACCAGATTGATGTGAGGGGGTGCTTGCTCACTTCCGGCTTCATAGATCAGCCCTACAAATGGGGGGGAGGTGTTGCTGGGAAGACCACTGCTTCTCAGAGTCAGCTCTGAAGACAGAATTGAGGGACTCATGCTAGAAGAAACTAGGCCAGGACTGTGGGGCATCTGGCCCCCTGGCTGAGTGTGGCACCCCTGACAAGGCCCCAGCTCTGTCCCTTAAGAGGAAGCTACCGCTGTAAACAGTGATTGCAATCAAGCATCAGTGACCAAGGAAGAGAAAGGCACACCCCTCAATCAAAAGAGGAGCCACAGAGACTTCATCTTTCCGGCTGTCCCACAAGAGCCAGGTGCCAACTCTTTCCCACATTGCAGGGATAGCGGGGATAAATGCCCGTCCTTCTTTCCAAATAGCATGTAAGTGATAGATGAAAGAAGAATGTTCTCAAAGGAAATATTCCCTAGAAGTGGAGAAGTTCAGGGGTGCCTGCCTGGCTGAGTCGGTGGAGCGTGCAGCTCTTGATCTCAGGGCTGTGAATTCGAGCCCCATGTTGGGTGTAGAGATTCCTTAAAATCTTAAAAAAAAAAAAAATTGAGAAGATCGGAGCCATAATCTGCATGAGAGCGTGGTCACCACTGAGGAAGCTAGGACAGCTCCTAGCTATGTTCAGGCAGCCCCAGAAGGTCCCAGGTGTGAGGGAGTCACTGAGCCCAGCCCAGAAGCACAGCTTACAGATGGTGCTGAAGGAAGCCTAGGGTGAAGTGGAAGTAAGTCCCTCTGAAAAGGCTGACCCTGCTCGGCCTTCCCGTGCTTCCTCAGCCCTTTGTGTGTTTGCCTGGCTATCAGGAAGAACCCGGAGCCAACAGTGACTCATTGATCCTTACTAAGACCCAAGGAGAAAAGAGATAGTTGGGAGCATTCTTCAGCTTGTAGACAGAAATCAGTGATACCGGGTATTGAAGGCTAAGAGTTTTAGTCGCCAGACAGGGTGTCTTCAGTTCTGATCCTTGGTCCAGTACCTGGAATTTTAACCAAACTTTAAACACGAGCTTGTTGTAGTCAAGCTGCTCTGACCACAGAAAGTAGAACAGGTCCGGGCTCCAGTAGACCTGTTGGTGGGGGGCAGAAAGGATGGGGGTGGGCAGGAGAAGCACATCTGCCAGACTCCGTTGTCTCGTGCTGCTTGGCCGTCGACCTCATCACTGAATGTCCTGAATCCGCAGCTCTGAGCTGACACTGCATGCTGCCAGATGGAAAGTGTTTGAGGGGACCCTTTGATTGTCAGCATCATGCTGACAGTCCCAGCCCAGAGAGTGGGCCTTCAGGTGGCCTGTCTTCTGAGACTGGAAGGAAGGTTCCTGGTCGTGCAGCGCATGGCTCAGCATAGGTCTAGTGTGGACAGTTTGTTGTCGCTAACCGGCCCTGGCTAGCAGGAATTACAGAGGAAGGATTTGGCAGGGCCCCAGATGGTACTGCCACCTGTCAATAAATCTTGACAAGTTTGTAAATCAGAGGCTCCCTGGCAGCTGGCTTCACATGGGGCCTCATGCAGCCAGGATTTGCTCAGCAAACTGCAATGATGGCTTTGTTTTTGGAGGCCTCTGCTCTTGACCTCTGGCCCTTTGCCTCTTCCGTCGTGAAAGGTCCTCTCCTATCTCCCCTGCCCTGCAGTGCCCCTGCTCTTCTCAGACAACACCCACAAAAATAGCTGAATGCTCTGAAGAGGAAGGAGCTGTTCCTTTTTAAAGGGATGGTCTGAAGAAGATCACACCAAATCCGCAGCCCTGCGGGCCCCCGGGGGTAGCCAGGAGCGGTTAGACCAGACAGGGAAGGAAGAGCACCTGTGCTTGGCTGTGGCTCTTTCCCTCCAAAGACGCTCGCGTGCCCTCAGGTGAAGTCCAGTCCCCAGAATCTTCATGACCCTCGAGAGACAGATGAGGGGTTCCAGCCTAGGCCTGTTCCCCTTCACCTGCAGTAGCACAGCCTCCTGACACGTGGTCCCTTGTCAGCCAGGCCCTGTCCGGTGCCCATCCTGGCTAATCCTGACTTCACTCCGCCCCGCGCCCCCCAGCTGGCCTTTCCCTCATGACCCACTGGCTTTGATTTCTCTGCTTTTTGTTGAAGAAGTTCTGCCATTAAAGGAAGATGGCTGAGGCCTCTAGATTAAAAAGTTGGCTTTTGTCGGAGCTTGTCTTAGCTTGGGCAGCCGTTACAGAACACCACAGACTGGGGGATCTTTTTATTTTTTTTTTATTTTTTAAAGATTTTATTTATTTATTTGAGAGAGAGAGAATGAGAGACAGAGAGCAGGAGAGGGAGGAGGGTCAGAGGGAGAAGCAGACTCCCCGCCGAGCAGGGAGCCCGATGCGGGACTCGATCCCGGGACTCCAGGATCATGACCTGAGCCGAAGGCAGTAGCTTAACCAACTGAGCCACCCAGGCGCCCCAGACTGGGGGATCTTAACAGAAATTTATTTCCTCACAGTTCTGGAGGCTGGAAGTCTGAGATGAGGAGCCAGCAGGGTTGGGTTCTGGTGAGGGCTGTCTTCCTGCGTCCTCACATGGTGGAGAAAGCGAGAGATCTCTTTCTTATTCTTCTTTTTCTTTTTCTTCTTTTTTCTGAGATTTTATTTTTAAATAAAATTTTTAAATAGGGGCGCCTGGGTGGCTAAGTCTTTAAGCGTCTGCCTTCAGCTCAGGTCATGATCCTGGGGTCCTGGGATCGAGCCCCGCATCAGGCTCCCTGCTTCGTGGGAAGCCTGCTTCTCCCTCTCCAACTCCCCCTGCTTGTGTTCCCTCTCTCGCTGTGTCTCCCTGTGTCAAATAAATAAAGAAAATCTTCAAAAAAAAAAAAATTTTTTTTTTTTAAATAATCTCTACACCCAACACGGGCTCAACCCCAAGATCAAGAGTTGCATGTTCCACTGACTGAGCCAGCCAGGCACCCCACTTTTGTACTCTTCTTATAAAGCCACAGTCCTTTTGGATTCAAGTCCCACCCTTATGGCCTCACTGAACTTTAATTACCTCCTAAAGACCCTCTCTTCAGCTACAGTCACACTGGGGGATAGGGCTCCAATATCTGGACTCAGGGGGGGGGATACGGTTCTTCAAGCACGTGTGCGTGCCCCCTCCCATTTAGGAGCCAAGCCGGCTATTCTGAGTATCTCTTTCAGTCTCCAGAGGGACACCAGAGTTTTGTTTTGTTTTGTTTTGTTTTTTTGAAAGATTTTATTTATTTATTTGACAGAGAGATAGCAAGAGCAGGAACACAAGCAGAGAGAGTGGGAGAGGGAAGAAGCAGGCTTCCCGCTGAGCAGGGAGCCCGATGCGGTGCTCGATCCCAGGACCCTGGGATCATGACCTGAGCTGAAGGCAGACGCTTAACAACCGAGCCACCCAGGCGCCCTTGTTTTGTTTTTAAGTGAGGTCTGTGCCCAACGTGGGCCTCAAACTCACGACCCCGAGATCAAGAGTCCCATGCTCAACCAACTGAGCCAGCCAGACGCCCCAGGGACACCAGAGTTCTGATGGGCTCAGACACCTCTTCCCCATCTCCTGTCCCCACCTTCACCACCAGCACCCCACCCTCAACCACAGTGACTGCTAGGTAACACCTCTTCCAGGAAGGAATCCTTAAAAGCAAAGCAGTCTGTTTAACAGGATTGCTGCCTGGGGTGGCTTTGTAGGTCATTATAGAAACATGAGAAGCCACTGCTTCCCTTCTGGTAGCAGTGCCCATGGGCGATTAGAAGAAACGGCTTAATGGTCCATTACAGGGAAAGGAGGAAGCAGGGCAGGGTTGGCAGTGGGAGAACTGAGAATGGTAAGGTGCCTCATTTTCCTTCCTGCCTGCCCCATGGCAGTAGGGAAGACCCAGTGGCAAGAGCCTATGCTTTCTCCGTTTCGGAGCACGAAGTCCGGACTTTAGGTGGGGCTGTCTATGGCACCCTGTCTCTCCAGGGCCTCCCCAGCCTCTCATTTGCCATCTTAGCTCCTTTCTTTATGTCTGAAGAACACTTAACCCACTGCCTACGGATAGGGTGGCTATTCTTTAGCTATCTCTCAGGCCCAAGGAGGAGCTTGTTAGGCATTGTTCAGAGGAAGGAAGAGACTAAAAACCCACCACTACAGGCATTTGGGCTGTTGGAGAGTCGTCCGCATTGCTCCAGTACTGAGCGTCCTGGTCTCAGCTCTGCCCCAGGAGAGACTAAAGAGGGCTGTCGGGCCACAGTCCACAAAGCCCAGGAGGTGGAAGGAGTTCTGGCCCTTCTCTCTCTAATGCTCTCCACCTTTTCTCCTCCACCCTTCCCAACTGATTTTCAGGGCCTTAAACTCTGGTGTTGAGTACTATTGGGACCAGCTGAACGAGACTGTCTTCACGGTCCACTCCAGCAGCAGGAGCAGTGAAAGGCCTGGGTGAGTTTGGGAAGGAGGAGGGCACAGCTGCAGGAGGGAGGCTTGTCCCTTCCTCCTGTTTCAGATGGGCTCTCGAGCAGTGCCCTCGGACTGCTCTGGGCTCTCTGGGTGCCTCTCCTCAGCCACAGCAGCTCCTCTTTGATCTGCTTCATGCATTGAGCTTTTGCAGTTTCATTTGAGAAAAGCATTCTATGGCTGAGGAAGAGAACAAAACCTCTGCTCTTAGAGTCTTGATTGAGAACAAACTAGGACATCCTGTGGCCCTTTCCCATCCTGGCCATGGTGTCTGGGCACACTGGGGTAAGGGGAGAAGACAGCACTAGGGAGGGATGCTGTCCCCAAGAACTGTGCTTGTGGCCCAAGGAGAATCTGCGGACAATGCTGCAGGTGACCAGGGCCTCGGGGACCAAGCTGCTCAGAGCTGTAGCCCAGGGACAAACCCTCCTCAGGGGCCAGAGAGTAGAAACCTGGTACCGACCCACTTGTCACTTAATTTATTAATGAAGACTGGAACATTCTGACAAAAAGTGCTGGGTCAGTAATACACCTTAGGCATTCGCTGCTTCCTAGAGGAATTATAGGGCACAGCTAGAGGAACAGTCCCCAGAAGCAGCTAGAAAGGAGTGGCTGGTGCCTGTCACGGAAGTCCTGGGCTCCCTCTGCTGCCAGCCCCAGCTCTCCCAAGGGGCTGGCACCTGGGGAAATGCCCAAGGGAAGAGGGCTGCCAGCTTTGGGCCTGGGCCTTGCTCCCAGGTCAGCTTGTGCTGCCTGCCTTCAAGGGCCTGCTGTGGGAAGGCCCTGAAGGAGTCCAGAAGGGCTTTTCCTCCAAAGTGGAGAGCCAGGGAAGATTCCAAGAATTTAAACTAGAATCCTGTCAGCATATAGTTAGAGGGAAGGAAAAGCTAAGAGAGGAAAGGTCCTTCTGCTTCTGCTCACCCTTTGTCCCACAAATGTCAGCTGGTGGCTTCCTGAATGTAAATAAGAGTCTTAAGATCAGCCACCTCTCCCTCCCCAGAAAGACACTCGCTGTTTAAGGGAGTGACAGAACTAGCTGGTTTGCAAACTTGGGTGGTTCTTCAGCCTCCTCTCATTGTCCCAGAGCTTGGCCTGATCCAGAGGCATGACCTGCCGTCGGGAGGGAGCTGCAGGAGCACAGGGCTTGTCTTCGGAGCCTGTGGCCTCTGCTCCAGGGGGCTGTGCCCTGAGGGTCAGTGGGGAACAGGTGGGACTCTGGGAGGCGTGCTGTCCGAAGCCCTGCCTGACTTCTGTCTGCCTCTCCCCCTCCTAGAACTAGCAGAGCTGCATGGAGGACAGACAGAGACATGGGTCTGATGAACGCCATTGGGCTGCAGCCCCGGAACCCCGCCACCTCCGTGACATCTCAGGGCACCCAGACTCTGGCCCTTCAGCTGCAGAATGCCGAAACGCAGACAGAGAGGGAGCTACAGGAGCCGGGGACAGCGGCTTCGGGTCCTGGGGAAGGTAAGAGTCACATAATTCTAGAGGGGAATTACGACTGGGGGGTCCTCTCACCCCTCCTGGCCCCTCCGCAGAGACAGGTGGTGCTGAGAAAGGGCCCTCCCCTCTCCGAAGGAGTACCCTCTTACCTGCTTGGGAACGCTCCCCTGGTGGCGCGAGGAGCCTCCTCAGGCAGGAACAGCGTTTCCCTGATCTGGCTCATTGTTCCCAGCAGGCTGAGCTGCTCGTACAGCTCTGCTCAGCTCCCACCAAGTACCCTGACCGCCCTCTTCTGTAAAACTTGGAGGATCCAGGCTGTTCTTCCAGAGAGAGCACACAGGAAGTGGCCTAGATACGGAAGAGCCTGCAGGAGAGACTCAGTGCCACAGGCTCTTGTTCTGGGACGAGCACGCGGGGCCTGGGCTTCAGGGCTGACCCACAGGGTAGCTTGTCGAGCCGTGGTTATACCCATGGCTCCTTGCCGTTCTGGCTGCGGCCGGCACACCAGCAGCCCCTTCCTTCACCTTCCTCAGGTGTGGCTCGGCCAGCCTCAGCCCTGGCTCTGTGCTGGCCTCACACTTCTGAGAACCAGTTAGCACTTCCCAGCGGTAGAGCTTGAGCCACTCTGGAGTCTGTCGGCAGCTGTGCTAAGAAGGCTGTTCTCACCCAGTCGCTCTCCTTACCCGCGCCCCAGCCCCCTTGCCGGTCGGAGCTTCAGACAAGGCAGCCTCCAGCCACACACAAATGCTTTGGGTCTGTGTTGAGCCATTTGCTCAAAAAACGGCCACAGAAGGAAGAGCCGTGGTGTGCGGGAAGCAGAGTAACAGATCTGCCTGTGTCTCCCAGGGAGCAGCTTTCCATCCTGTAGCCCCACGCAGGGCGCTGTCCCTTCACCACCGTGAACGGAGATTTTTAAAAATTGAATCCGTTTTTTGGGCCCAGGCCACATCCTCATCTGAGGCCCATGACTCTTCGTTGGTTGTGGCCAGTTTCAGAGGCCAGCACCTCATTCCCATCGTGTCTCCTCGCCCCAGAGGAGAGCAGGTGGCGGAGGGGGAGCTGTTCAGAGGCCAGAGGCGCTCTGCGGCAGGTACAGCCATCCGGCGCTGGAGTGCGGGCAGGGTGGGCTCAGGTAGCTCGCTGCGTCGGTCTGGGGCCCCATGACCTTTGCCTGGAGCTCTGCACCCCAGCCCTTCTCAGCACCCCAGTCCCTTTCAGAAAGCCCCTCACGCAGACAGAAGTAAGGGGAAAGGTGTGGGTGGTGGGGAGGTATGTCACTGGCCAGCTCCATCTCTCCTGGCGCCAGGAGCCTTGTTCTGAGGTGCTCCCCCCCCGGACCACCAGCCTCTCCTGCCACTCTGGTAGCAAGGCAGGGGACCAGGAAGCAAGAGTCTGGCTCTCTGGCCCACCTTTCCCATCCAGCAGGCAGGCGTCGCAGCTCCGCACACCGCTGCCTCCACTCTCACCCCTGCTCCTCTCTCTCCGTGTTGGCCAACTGATGGCCGCAGCTGCAGGAACATGTAGAGGAAGCCCTTAGTGAAGTTAGGTGACCCTTTTCCTGGGCCTCACTAGAAGGTGGGGCCAGGGCGGGAACGCCTGTGCCCCCCTACACACCAGAGGCCCAGGGGGGTTAGTGGGGGAAACGGCCCTGCCTGACTGACTCACGTTCTGGGGCTGCCCCTCCTCCCTTAGCCCTTTTGCTGTCAGCACAGAAGGGTTTCCAGGCCACTCTTCATTTTCTGACTCTCTAAAGATTGGATTAAAGTCTCTTCAGCTCTTTATAGGACTTCCAGGAAGAGCCTTCCACAGGGGAATTTTGCAAGTTATCAGCTGTTTAGCTTGTCCACCTTCAAAGCTTCCCTACCCTGTCACTCGGAAACGGAGGGGAGCGTTCCCTGGGCTCGCTCTTTGCTCCCCACACTGATCCAGTGCCTCCCGGCATACAGTAGGCACTCAGGAAGTTTGTGGAATGGATGGATTGTGTGAAGGCAAAGGCAGCCTGCCCCTGAGCTTGGCTTGCTCACTCCTGTCTGTCTCTGACCGCTGGAGAAAGGTTGCCTGGGCCTTTTCTTGTCTGGTGCAGATGAGAGCCCCGCTGCAGTAGCCTGGGCCCGGGGCCAGGGAACAGCAAAGGTGGAAAGTGAGGGGGCTGGAAGGCTAACGGGTCCCCCGAGGGCAGGAAGGGCAGCTCCTCCTTTCCCTTCCACTCAGCCTGGCTTCCCTCTTCTGGGCAGTGAAAGCCCCAGAATTAAATGCGGTTACAGGGCATTATGGGAACTTGCTGACCCCATCCTGGCCTCCGCACTCAGAAAGTACCTTAGAACTTGCCAAGGAAAAGATATCCTGTCAACACTAACTCAATTTCCCATTTTTCAAAGGCAAAAAGAAATGCTTTGGCTAGGGAAGGAGACAGCAGAATTAACCTCTGTGGCCACCACTGCTCCTAGAGCTAATAGCTTGGATCCCCGGCCACAGCTGCCTTTTCCCTCAGGCTCCAGTGTGTTTTCTTCTTGCAGAATGTGCTAGCTGCTTCCAGTGGCTCTTAGCCTTGGCTTGGAGTTCCTGAGAGAGAAGCTCAGCTCACAGCTGTGTGCACTAGCCGTGAGGAAGCCGGCCATGGGCACAGCTTAACTTCTTCCGTCTGGTCTCTTTTGAGCACTTACTTTATGACTGATACTGTGTTAGGCACCAGGAATCCAAAGGTATCGCAGAGGGAAGCAGCTTCAGAGATGAGAGCATTGTCTTCTCCTTCGAAAGCAAGCCCAGAAAGGGAACAAACGCTTCAGCACTTCCCGCACAGCAGAGGGTGACGTGTGACCAGGTTTCACAGACTACCTTAAGTCTGGAGCACCTGTAGTCAGCCTGGGAGCCCTTTCATTCAGCCACACGTTCACGTGCCAGATGGACACCAAGGGCAAGACCACGCATTAGCCACCGGACCCAAAGATAGATAAAACTTACTCTGAGGCCTCCAGGGACCTGCAGCCCAGGAGGGAGATACCACAGCCACAGATGACACACACGGAGGCGTGGGGGCACTGCGAGGGCTCAGGGAGACAGCAGCCACTCCCAGCTGGGGTCCCCCGAAGGCCAGGTGGGAGGGGTGGTATTCACATTGACCTTGACATCCCCAGGGTGTCCCCAGTGTGTGTGAGCAGGGGCAGGCAGGCTCACAGCAGTGCCCGTTGGCTTTGGTAAGATCATTGGTGCAGGAAGGGAGGATGGTCAGGGAAGTGGCTACGACCTGACCAGAGGTCCCTTAAATGTCGTGCTAAGGCATCTTGACAACTTTGAGGGCCCTTGGAATTTCTGGGTTTTAAACAGATTAGGGACTTAACTAGAACTCAGTGAATCTGAGCTTTATTAGAATGGTAATAGCAGCAGCGTGGAGGCTGGGTGGAAAGGGAAGTGATAAGCAAGAAGCCCAGTCACGAAATACAGCCACAGTCGTGGTGAGACATGGCCAAGGCCAGAGCCACGGGTGCAGTGGGAAAGGGCAGGAGGGCCTCTCCGAGGACCTGGCTGTGGCACCGCCCTTGGGGCCCCAAGGCAGCCCTGTCCTGGCCCTGGAAGGGAGCTTCATGAAAGAGCTGATAGTTCGCTAGGCACAGAGCCCAGCACAGTGAGCGACAACGCCAGCAGGCCTCGGGCCAGCACCCCGCACATCCCAGACCCAGCTGGGAAGGCCCTCAGTGCACAGAGTTCTTGGAAAGCAGTGGGGGTGGCAGCGAGCACAGAGAGGTCCCCAGGGGGCCTCGCCAGGCAGCCCTTTGGGCTCACAGGATAGGAGCTGTGCTGGCACCGAGGCCCTGGTTGACCTTTCCTCTTAGCCTCTGCCCCACTGTTGGAAGGCTTTGCCCCCTGAGAGGAGTGCTAAGAGCCCTTCAGAGACTTTTCTTCTGCCCTGGGAGTTGGCGCTGAGCTGTCGGAGGGGGAAGCAGGGAAGGGCAGCCGCCTTAGGGGATTGGGGGAGGATGGGGAGCGTTGATGGGGAGAAAAGGGGAGAAACACAAACCGCAGGCACGTAAGTGAAAGCTGAGGCCGAGTCCCCACTGCTGAGTGCTGAAGAGAAGCGCCTGACGAAGACCCATGGCGTGAGGCTGCCAAGCACTAACAAGGAGGGAAAGATCTAATGGGGCCTTAGCCACCGCGAAGCTGTGGAACTGGCTGGCTGGAAATCCAGCTCTAACAAGGCAAGCAGAGAAAAGGGACTGGACAGGGAGGGAGCAAAAAAAAGTCTTACAAAAATAGCTGTTGACAATAAGTACCCAAAAAAAGAAAAACCCTCACCATCAGCGCCCCCAAATCTGCAGAATCCCAAACTGGCCAGCAAGTAGCCGAAGGAAATAAATTGATAGGTAGTGCTAGCCCTGACAGCCCCAGGGGTCTTGATCGTAGTTGCCCACAGGCTTGGGTCAGCCAGGGGGCTGAGCACAGGTGGAGGGAGGGTCCCTCAGGACGGAGCCCCACTCCGAGGCCCCAGGTTAATCACCACAGCCGTCGCCAAGTGCCCACCATGCCCATTACCCCATTTCCTTGGCCCAGCACACTGTGCAAGGTGGATGTTAAGGGACTCATCCAAGGTCACACAGCTAGTGAGCACAGAATGGATTTGAGCCAGAGCCTCCTTTGCTCCCCCACAAGGGGAGTGGGAATGCCCAGGCCTTTGGGGAAGGAACAGCACCTTCTCTCCCTCCCTGGAGATGTGGGCTGAAGCCTCAGGCCTGGGCAGTTGGCTGTCTCCAGGGAAGGATGAGGGCATCAGGCATCCAGCGCAACCCAAGGAGAACAGTAAATGGGAAACAGCTTGGGAAAGCTGGTGGTTTCGGAAAGAGGGAAGAGAGGAGACAGAATGCCTTCTAGGGAACAGTTAAAAACCCAGTCTTTCTCGTGGGCTTTTAGGAAGTAAACAGAACAACACTGAGGGAAGACAGCACAGCTTTGAAATGAGGCAGAGTGGACTATTTGCCTTTGGGCCACACGCTGTGGGTTGCCCCCTCTTTCCACACACCAGGCAGCACGCCCTCTCTCTGGGCCAGGTCTCCCAGTTTCCCGGACAGGGAGACAGCAGACAAAGTAAGCCATCTGTGTCCACCCCAGCCACCTTCATTCATGTAGTGACTAGCCTGCCACTTGTGCCAAATGCCCTCCTTCTGGTCCAGCTCTGCCTCTTAACTGGCTGAGTGGCCTTGGCCACCTCATGCCATCCTCAGCCTCAGTTTCCCCACCAGTAGAACAGAAGTGGGAATTATGACCATTTGGGGAATCTTGTCTAGCTTTCAAGTCTCTGATCCTCCGAAAGAGGGAGTTGGACTCTTCTCGTTTCTGCTTTTGGCAGAGAATCCCCCAGCTCCTCCTCACGGTGGCCTGCCTGCCTCAGTGGCCCCGGTCAGCCACGAACCCCCTCTGTCCTGTGCTCCCTACCTTCCAGGTGAGGGCTCAGAGTCCGGTGCAAGCGGGGAAGATGCCCTCAGCAGGATCCAGCGGCTGATGGCGGAAGGGGGCATGACGGCCGTGGTGCAGCGGGAGCAGAGCACCACCATGGCCTCCATGGGTGGCTTCGGCAACAGCATCATCGTCAGCCACCGCATCCACCGTGGCTCCCAGACCGGCGCTGAGCCCGCGGCCGTCCGCGCTGCCTCGCCCCGGCCCTCCGCCTCTCGGGGACTGCTCCCGGAGCCTGGGCAGCTGGCAGAGCGGGGCCTGAGCCCCCGGACAGCCTCCTGGGACCAGCCTGGTGCCCCCGGGCGGGAGCCGCCCCAGCCACCCCTGCCGCCTTCCTCCCCGGTCCCCTCCCCTCTCCCCCTTCCCGGCACCGAAGGACCAACCCTGCACTGCGATCTGACCAGTAACAATCACCTTGCTGATGGCGGTGGCAGCGGCCGGGGGGAAGCTGCAGGCCCCAGCAGGGAGCCACGGAACAGGTAGAGACCCATGTGTGCACTGGTGCTCCCCCTCGAACCGCTGAGCAGAAACCGGACCTCACAGCTGACTGGGAACTGTACGCGCGGAAGAGCTGCGGGCTGCATCAGGGAACAGGAGCAGGGTGGGGGGGATTGTCGAGTGAAGTCAGAGGCAGTGGGCATGAGGCAGTCGAATGGGCAGGGCTTGCCTCGGGACTAGAAGCTTCCAGGATCTGGAGCCCAGGGGAGCCATACTGCTGTGCTCCGTGTGAATGGAGGAGGAAGTGGGTATCCCTGCCATGAACCCCCCTTTCTCCTAGAAACATGGCTGAAGAGACTCACCCTTGGGCAGAGAGCCCCAGAAGGGTGAACTGTCTTCCAGATTGGGGCCAAACCATCCGGGACAGTGGCCGCTGGGGCAGCTTTGCCCTGGCCCCCTGTGGCACGGGTGGGGCCACTAGGAGCCCAAGAGCAGGAGGAGCAGCCTGGGCCCCAGGAACCACCTGTGTCTCTGAGCCTTCCAGAGCTTCAGCCTCTCTTTATCATCTTACCCCACAGAGACCACAGCCAGGGGTCAGGCCAGGCTCCCAGATTCCTGAAGACAGGGACTTCCTGCACTTACTGATGGGGGACAACCATGGAGCCAAGGGAGCAGCTTGCTTGCCTGATACAGGATGGGGTCAAGGGACGGTGGGCAGGTCCTCACTCAGGAGTGGGGGGTGTAGGCTGGCCAGCCCCCGGGGCTTGTCCACCAAGCTCCTCTCCCCCTGCCCCCTCCCCAGCCCTCAGAGCAGCACCTGTGGGTGGCAGTATTACATGAGCCCAGGCCAAAGCCAGCCCCAGGCTGGGGGAGGGGATGAGACTCCAGGTCAGAGTGTGAGGTCTCGGTCTGTGACTTAAGGTGTTGCATGTGGAATCTTGAACTGTACGTGTAGTTTCTAGTGGAGAAATCAAGGCTCTGATTATTTTGTTTTTAGTATGAAAATGTGATTTCTTTTCTGTTTGTAACTCATCATAGAAACATTGTGGTGGGAGGAGAGGGGATAGTCTGACTGCTAATGAGGGAAACACCAAAGATCTACATCATTAAAATGATGACATGCCCCTCACCAGGCTCCTCTCTGTTTGTTTCCATGGAGGATGGAGGAGGGGGTGGTGTTGGGGGTGCGGGTGGGGGAGGGGGGTCATTGAACTAAGCGGGCCTGGGTTCTGTCAGGCACTGTGTCTGGTGCTGCTGTCCTATGTGGGGAGCCCTGTCTGTCACCTCAGAAGAAGAAGCCAGTCAGGTACGGGCTGCCACATGTGCTGGGTCTCTGTGCCTCACCACCTCCTGCTTCCCCCGGGCCTGCTAAGGATTGGGGCAGCCTTAACAGTGACAGGTGGGTAGGTAAGAATGACGGAAAGTCACCCATCCTGATTGCTTCCTACCCAGGACTGTGGGTCTGGAATGAAGATGTGACTGGGACTGGCCAGAAAGCTGCTGGATCCTCTCTGGTCCCCGGAAACCACCTATCATGGGTGTCTGGGCTGGCCAGGCAGGGAGCTTGGTTTTGTCTACAGGCATCCCTCTAAGATGCCATTTGTGGCTGCTCAGGTTCCCCTTTACTTTTTGTCCTTAGCACAGTGGCTGAAGGGCCTGCCGTAGTTGTGGGCCTTGGCCACTTTGAGTTTCAAGCCAGTTAGAACGTGGGATGATACTTGCCCCAACTCTTACAGAAGGGTACAAGGAAAACAGAGCCACCCCAGGGATTTTTGCCAGCAACAACTATTTCTTTCTTCTTTTTTAAAAGATTTTATTTATTAGCGAGCATGAGTTGGGGAGGGGGGAGAGGGAGAAGCAGGCTCCCTGCTGATTCCAGGACCCTGGGATCATGACCTGAACCAAAGGCAGATGCTCAACCTACTGAGCCACACAGGTGCCCCAGCATCATCTATTTCTTGACTATCTCTTGTGTGCCCGACTCTGTCCCACATCCTCTGGGACTTGTACAATTACTGTACCAACAGAGACAAAACCAAAAGATTAAATGGGCAAGCAAGTAATACAAAACAGTGTGTAGAGCTATTACAGTTACGAACACTAGAATTTTCTAGGACATTTTAGTCCAGAACCCACAGAAGAGTGGGTTCTGGACTAAAAGACACATCAACCAGCTGTGTGACCTTGGGCAAGCCACCTGCCTTTTCTCTGCTCCACTTTCTTCCCTTGTAGTATACAGGGCTTGTATTATGTAACCTCTTACAGTTTCTTGGAACTCTATAATTTCGAGTCATTCTAGGTCAGCACTGGAGTGGTTAGGGCCAGGCTTCTTAGAAGAGGTAGGATTTGAACTACTCATTGAAGGACCGAAGGATTGCCCCACTGCAATCCCTGCCCTCCACCCACGCACTCCCATCCCCCAACCCCCCAGGAGAGGAATTCCTTGGTCTGACAGTATGGACTATGAATTTGTTGAGTATAAACCACGTGCCAAGGACTCAATGTGTACTATCTCGATCCTCATCACAGAAGCCCTCCCAGATAGGTACTGGTACTATCCCCCCACCCCCCACCCCAGACCACACAACTAACTGAGCCAGGGTTTGAACCCAGATGAGAACCCGACTTGCTCTGTTATTTTGGAAAACGGGGTATGAAGATGCCTTGTGGATGAGAGGATCCAAATTTGGTCCTGCCTGCCTTGCCTGTGCCCTGTCTAGCCAAGGATGAACCCAGCAGCTACCTGTCAAACTTTTGTGTTTCCACATCAACCCCTTCCCTTCTTTAGAAAGCCCTTGCCCGGTGGATGGAAGCTCCCCTACTAGTAGTAAAGCCTCAGGGCCCCTTGCCTGTCATAACAAGGTTGTGGGGTCAGCAGGGCAGAGCTTGGCAATCCCGTTTGGAGATGAGGAATTCGGTTCAGAGGAGTTCTATAGACGCAAGTTGTCTATGAACCCAGTTGAGTCAAAGGCAGAGAGCAAACACAAAACCAGGTCCCCCGGTTCCCAACTCAGCTCTCCACAGTTCCACTATTGGGTCTGGGGTTGGAGGGGTCAACCCTACCACATGGTAAGGGTTTCAGGAAAACTGGAGCAACCTTGCCTGACGGTTTCTGGAAGAACTCAAGGCAGTGGTTGGAGACATTTCTGATTTCTGTGGCCTCCAGTCCTTGGCCTGGCTTGTTTCCTGTGTGACTTTGTAAGTATCTGGCCTCCCCCCTCTCCCCATTACACACACACACACCACAATTCCACCTTCCTAGGAGCACCACCCTCTCCTGGATTTATGGCAAAGTGGAACAAGGGCAGGACTGTTATCTGATTGTCCTATGAACCAACTGAGCCCCTTTCTTCATCTGTGAAGTGGGGGCAAGAACAATATCTTCTCTCGTCCTTGGTTATGAGGCTCATGGGAGACCGGATCATTCACATAAAGGACGATGGCTTTTCACTCTAAGCCTAAACAGCCAATTCCAGCTGCCCTGGGGAGCACCCGAGGACCTCTTCCTCAGCGTGGGGAACTCCACACCAAAAGACCCGCAGCGCTGGCTCTTACCCCAATTCCCGCCCCTTCTCTGGCAGCTCCTGCCGCCTCCCCTCCACTGCCTTACCCGCCTCCACCGGGGCGCCCCCCTCACAGCCCCCCGCCCGGTCCTGCGGGAGGGTGGAGGGGCGGGACCTGAGTTGTTTTTCCAAGAGAAGGAACCGGCGGTCTTAAGGTTGATCGGGTGTTTGCGCTCAAAGAGTTTGAGGTGACAAGGCTCAGGACCTGGGTGTGGTGGGGGGAGGGATGAGTCCGACCCTGGCTGGCCCCAGGAAGGGTCGTGTCAGATGGAGGCAGAAACGCGGCTGCCTTGGAGCGCGGAGCGGAGCCTACAAGGTCAGTGTCGAGGCGGAGCTCTCCAAGGTGCTGAAGCCACCCGACTCGGTCCCGCGGACGCCCCAGCCGCGGACTCCCGGGCCCTCCCGCTCCTCACAGGCAAGGCCCCAAGTCCCCAGGCCCCGACCCGTGCGGTTCCCGGAGACCTCAAGAGACCGCTCGCCCTCTGGGGTCTCGTTCCGGGCTCCGCCCCGGGTGACCTTGGGCACTCAGCTTTCCCTCACAGGCATCGGTGAACTCGCCCTCCGGCCGCGGCTAGCTAGGCGGCGCGTCCCATCCCGGGGCTTGGAGAGAGGATGCGCCCCCCTTCCCCGGCCTGCAGCGCGGGAGCCGGGAGCCGGGCGGCGGGGGTGGGGGGCCGGGCAGGGGTTGTGTGCGATGGGTGGGCTCCTCTCTCCCTGGCGGACTGTTGCCTGTCTTCTCTCTCCAGCTCCTTCCTAGGCCCCGACGGCGCCCGTCTTCTCTGATAGCCCCGCGGCCGACATGCGGCCCTGAGGCTGGAAACTGCCGGTCCTCGGCTCTCTGCCCCGACGGAACCGTGACGGCTGAGCCGACCCCACCCACCCGTAACCTCTTGCTGGGGTCAAACACTCGCGCCTCCGAGGTCCCACTGTGAGCGGGGCCCTGTAGGGAGGGTGGTCCAGGAGGGGCGCGAGACCACCTCCAGGTCCCGGGTGCTTGGTCAGAGCGGAGGCGGAGAGCGCAGCCAGACGGGGCTGCCAGCTCCCTCCCCAGCCCGCGAGGGGGCGCCGCGTCCCCATGACAACGCGGACACCCCACCCCACCCCCCACCCTAGCCTCCCGAGAGGGCAGCGCCCCCCGCTAAGCCGTACTGTCAACCGTGGGCGGTGCCCCTACAGTGGCCGAGCGCGGAGCTGTCGGCCGGCTCCAGTGAGGGGCGCGCGTAGCTGGGGTTCCCGACGCCCCGGGTGGTGCCCCCCGCGCGTCGCAGTTGGGTGGCCGGCCCGGGGCGGGCGGCGCGGCCCCACCAGGATTGGCTGCTTCCCCGTGACATCACGCGGCTCGGGGAAAAGTGCGA